CTCAGAGAGGGGCTGSTGCCAGATGGCTCAGGGAACAGGAGCACTGAGGATTGCATGGCTGCAAGAGAATGCCCCAGGTAGGCAGCAATATTCTGCTGTCACTTTTGTGCAAAACAGAGAAATCAGCTGCAGGCCAAGATCTGAAACCAAAGAGCACAGACTTAGGGCTGATCCTAGGAGGTGAGAGGAGTCCCTCTGGGTTTGTTCCATCTGGTGCACACCCAGGTCATGGAGTGTCTCTGGYGAGCCCCAGGCTCAGAGAAGCGAGTTTGGGAGCTGCTGTCCAACCCCACTCAGCACTCAGCCACAGCAAATACAGCCCTGAGCTCCACTCTGCCCCAAGGTACAGGGCACTAACAGCTACAGCATTTCCCAAGCTGCTCTACATCACCAATGTCACTTCATAACTTACCCAATGACTTCAAAGTAGGTGGCTCAGTCCCCTAACAAAAATTATTTTAATGCTCTTAATCACATTCTCTTGTTACTTGTCCATCCATAGTTCAGCTGGAAACACAAGACAGGGCTCTACAGAGTTCACAACAACAGCAGGCCAGAAATTTCACAAATACTGAACTCTGATGTCTCTGGTTAGACCTATAACCAATGACACAGACAACACTGACAGGAGTGCATCTCCATAGGAGATAAAAATCTTAGCTGAGTATTACCAGGGTCTGTGGAGGCCTGAGCATAAATGAGGAATACATTTCCAAGTTCAAAGCCAGAAAAAAATGTCACTGTGTGTACACCCACTGAAATACATGCCCACTCACTGGCCTTCATCTGACACTGATGTAKTCTCCAACCATCCACTTGGGATATTTGAAATACTTGCTGCCAAATAGCATCATCTATTCTCTAATGATTTTCTAACACAAATGTCATTTAGATAAATAAATAATTTTCTAGCCATGCTGTGATAAGCCTACCCTATTTTCTCCCAGCTACTCTTGTTAAGGACAGGTAAATAAGAGCATTTACAAATAGCTCCCATCTGAGAACGAGCTGCAGTTCAAAATGAATAAATGTCAGAATTAACAGCAGCAGACCAGCGCTGCATCCCCTCCCATGCCACTGTCCTTCAGCTACCTAATGCTCAATAGTTTTTGAGATCTCATTTTGGGAATGCTGACAGTTCTGGATACTGCATCAGTGTCAAAAYSCAAATTGGCAGSGTGCTTCTCTTACTCCCAGCTCAGCTACACTGGCTAAAGGGCTCCTGCCTAATCACATAAATATGTTTCTTTGCAAATTGCAAAGCTGCCTGTCAGTCAACTCTCAGAAAACCCCAAAGGGATCTTGAAATTTTGAAGAGACTTCTCTCAGTGATTTTAGCACAGTAGGAACAAGCAAACTGTTTTATTACAATGAAGATATGTTCCTGAAAAATCTGCCCAGGAGCAATTTGTAAGTGAACTGAAGATGGGCCTCCAAGAATTCAACTCACCTGTGATGCTATTCCAGCACCAGCCAGCAGTCATTATTTAATTAAAGCTACAAAATATTTCCTTTGCTTTGAATAAGCTCACTAAATGCTGTAATTTTGGGAGGACCCACATGATGCCCAAATTCTACTAAAACAATTAGGCAAGGTACAAATAGTTAAAAAATTGGGAACAATTTAGTCAATRCCTTCTAAAGAAAATTCCTCATTCTCAAGTTTATATATTGCTTCCTTTTAGACACCAATCTGTGTTTTTTTAAATGGCAAAGAAATTAAAACGATTGAACAATTTGAACACATTTCGTTCACCCCCAAAGTGAAATAATTCCTTCAACATTGACTCATTCTGATACTAATTTCAATGTTAACCTTTCCTCAAGAGACACGCAACCAAACAATCCAAATAAGAAGCAGGCACAATTTAGCACTTACTGCAGGTGACTAATATTATTTTCTTTAGAAATTAAGAATAAGTCTACACAGACAGGGTACACTATTTGGCTTGCTAAAGCTCTCTAAACAACTTACATCTAATTTGATGGTTTAGAACTGTTTGTTTTCTAAGCAGCAAATCTGAGAGCACTGAATAGGACATTTATGGACAACCTGCACTCCGAGGCATTTCTGTAAAAAACAATGCAGATTTTGGGCCTTTKGTAGTTAGTTTCCAAACAATTAAAAAATGACCATGCTAATGAACATTCCCTAAGCCTGTTGCTGATTTTAACTCTAGCATAAGGACTTTCTGACCTGCATGTGCCAATCTTTTTGCTCCCAAGTCTTGTGGTTTCCATAGGACAACACACTTAAAACACAAGAACACTTCACCCTTAAGTCACCGTAGGAAATAAAAATTGAACTCATAAYCACTGCTCTGGTTTGAAATATCCAACAGCTCTTGAATTGATGGGCATTGCAGCAGCTGGGGTATGGAACCCCAGATCGAGCAGAAAGCACTTTCCAGAGCACTTTTAACTAGAAAAGTGTCCACTGTCATTAACTGCTTTTGTTCAAGCTCACCACATCCCATCCCAAAGAGATGGGGGGCAAAGTTTTCATATGTAGCTATTCAGAATTTGAGGAAAACAGAAGGATTTAACAGGCAGTGCTATAAAGATAATTCCAATTAAATTGGTATAAAATTATTTTATACGAATGCTATGTTGTATTCACAAACAACATTTCCCTGTCAACTATAAATTTTCAGAAAAGCAGCACAACAKTGGAGATATTGAAGTCACATATCTATTCTACTCTGTCAGGCTACAAAGATATCTGTAAAGCCAGAGTAACTCGTGGCCTTAAGAAAATAGCACGAACATAAAACATGTCATGTAGTAGAGTCAAAAACCCTGCAGATGAAAGAGTTCCAATCCCTMAGTTTCAAAGGAATAAAGAACATGTAATTGTGGTAGCTTTGCATTTCTGGGTAGCCACTAATTTAAGACAGGAATAAAACCACTATGTTCTACACTGTGTAGCAGGGGAAGAATGTTGGGAAATTCACTTCTGCATCAAGGTCAAATGAAAATTAAGCAGCTTCAAAGTCAAAAAAAGGATGATGTCTAGAAAAAAAAGTATTTTAGGATAAGAAAGGATTAGTGACATCTACTCTGACCCCTCGAGTCATATAAGCAAGAATACYGCACAGTAATTACTATTTTATATCCATAATTTGTGGTTGGCTTTTTTCATCTTTCCTGTTTTAAACAAGAAACCATCTTCACTGAGAGACCATTTAACATCACATTGTGGAACACAATGCAGCAGAAATCAGTTACAAGTACCTCTACAGCTAATGACCAGCACACCTGAAAGAAGTTGCATTTTCTAACTCTGGTGCACATCAGTTCATGAAAGTAAAAAAGTATTTCCAGCAGAACTAGATGCCTGACTTGCAAATCTGATTCCAATAGTTCTTCAGCACAGTTCTGAAGAGAGTAGAAATCTCCTAACAGCGGGCAAAAGTCAAACCTAAGCAATGCCTTTAATTGCCAATTTAAGAAGGTAAAATGGAAATAGGCTATTGTGAAATTTAACTCAATATGTATTTGTGACTACCTTTGTCAGAGCAAATATAATCTATAGGTTACTCTGCTGCTCTCCTTTCTCCTATTCCTTATAAATCAGAAAATTAATTACCCAGAAAATGGTCTCCTGTAGTAGGCAGCCAAAGAGGTTTAATGTATAATTTATATATGGAAATTTAGGTGTCAACACTGTGACAATCCATCAGAAAAATATTTTTGCAGTTAGATTTTTCTGTATCTGTCTCTCTCCAAGAGTGAGCATGATACAGATTACCTCAATGATATGGTGTTGTTTTGGTATGTGGAGCTGAACTGCATTTTTAATTTTTTTCTCAGCTACAAATCAATCAAGTGAACAAGGCTTTTGTGCTGCATGAGAGAAGCTATTGTGATGCCATCCCTCTCAGAGGGCCACTCACAGTGAGAGCACTAACATGAAGAAAACAGAAATTAAACAGAATGAGGTTTTCCAACATCCACCTTGCCATCTGTGAGGGGACACTTTAAACTCCTATTCTGGCTGATAAGGGTGTTCTGAACATTCCCCCCTCATTTTAAGGCTACCACTGTAACTTAGTCCAGTCATTTAATAAGGATGGCATTTCCCTGTTGTGTGAAGAATCTCTGCAGTTACATTTCCAAGATGAAAGTACTTTCTATTGTACACCAGCCATCCTATATGGGGAAAGAGTTTGAAAGCCACTCAGAGAAAAGAGCAAGGAACTAAGTATTTATGTTCATTTGAAACCACTTGGACCCAAGACCACGCAGTTGGAAATGACATTTGGAGAAGTTCTCTTTTGATGTTTCTTCCATAATTTTCTTATTTGGTTTTCAGGTGAACACACACATTCAGCATTCATAGYGACCTCTGGAAGGAGCTCCATAGTTAAATTACCTATTGCATGCAAACCTATTTCTSGTTTCTTCTTTCTGGTTTTGGTTGTTCACTTGCCACACTATTTTCTATTCCCTAGACATAATCCCTTGGAGACTATTTACTAATGTAGTTGGAAATTTAGTCTCCTGTGGTATGGCTGTTTAGACATGACACCTTWTTCACAAAGAACCCTGCATAACAGGCTCAAATTCATAAAGTTATCTGCTATTCCATGAGCTGGAAACATTTAATGCCAAGTCAAACTGCAACAGCACAGGCTCTCGCCTGACCTACAGTGAGGGGTGGGGATGACAGGTGAAAGGAAAAGCCTTAGGAGTGGAGGGGAAACTTGGTCATGGTACATCTCTTATCACTGGGAGAACAGCAGCAGTGGCTCCTGACTGAAGAAAGCACATCCAAAACAACTCCCCTCACTCCATCACCAAGATCCTCCAAAAGAAATAACCAGCCCTGAGATAAAAGGAGCAGGAACACTGTGCTTTTGCTGTCCCACACTGGCACGTTGCCTATGGGGACAGCTGGCACTRTCCCTGTATTCTCTTGCAGATTCCTGCTGCAGCACAGCTGGTCACCAGCCCACTATCCCCAGCTCTGAAGTACAGAAGGAGGTCACAAATCTTACTCTGCTTGCGCCTTGCTGTCTTTCTCAGCACAGCCTCCTCCATTCGGGCTTTTTCTTCCCTYTCCCTCCAGCGCCTCAGCTGCTCTTCTCTCATCTTGTAGAACAAGATCTGCTTTTGCTCTTCGTTCAGCTCTGCCAGGAGCTCAGGGTCAATGTACATATCACGCAAAATTTGCTGCAGCATGATGACTCCGGAAAAAAAAAATAAAAAAAGAGGAGGAAAAACAAAAGAGAGAAACCTGCTTCCAATTATACTCACTAYGGTGACAAAACCCCACTGATGGCACTCCAGAAAGCAAACTGCAGCAAAGGAGCTCTCCCACACCTGCCTGCCCAGGAGAGGTTTGATTCTTGCTCTGGCCCTTTTTGTGCAGGCATATTCTGCTCCTTGTCTTTACAGGGACAGAGTTCTTTGCTTATCTCATCTTCCCAAGGTAGGGACAGGTGTCAAGTGAATGCAAGAAAAAGGAATAGAAAAGGATAGGGAATAAAAACATGAAATGAAAAGGCTGGGAGAAAAAAAGGAAAAAGTCACTTCAGTGCTCCTGACAGCAAGCCAGCAAAAATAAGGGATTCTTGATTGAACCCAGCAGCTTTGTTCCCTTGAGCAGAAGGAAATTGAGCATAGAGAGCCTCAGACTTTCAGGTCAAGCCGTTGCCTTCAGCAGCAATACACTCCCAGGGGTRTGAGTGTTGCCCAGGGGTTTAAAGTGATGTCATGGTTAAAGGTATCACCTACACCAACAATATCTATGTCACTTTGGGAACTGATCTCTCCTGATAAGAGAGGAGTTTGCATATTATTTCTCAGTCTAACCTGTTAAGCAGTCTCAACAGASAAAGTCATGTTAGAGGTCATAGTTACCTGGTGTTGACAAATACTGTCATGCAGCAAATTGACAAAAATGCTTCTAAAATTAAAAGCAGATGTAACAAAAGCCACAAGAATCTTGGTATCACTTTATAAATAAATTAATATTAATTAAACAAGACTGAGTTCTCAGSAATTCATGCAAGCCCTGATGTTAATTCATTTTCCACTTGGTGACTGGAGAAAGTTACAATGCTTCTTTTCCAGGAGATTATGGCTTTTTACTATGTAATARTTCTATCAAAATCAGTAAAAATAATATTTCAGCACCAGGGCCAACAGACAATTATATAAAAAACCCAAACCAAACCCTAACACACTAAAAAGCTAACCCTCTGGATTTGGGAGCCTGTTTTCACTAGCAGGGGCTCAGCTCCTCAGGGGAGGGATGGCACTTTGTGGGAAGGGGGCCACTTTTTGACACAAACCAAGATATRGCCACTCAGTGGGGCATAACAAAACACAGATCACATTGCAGGCTGAGCCACATCCCACTGTCTGATGTTTCCACATGAAGGAAGAGAAAGAGCAGGCCTGTATTTCTTCACCAAACTTGCTTTAGAGATAAGGAGCTATCAAAGTCTTACYTGACTTCCACAACCTTATATTCAAAAACATTCTCCTAATACATCTATTCATATATCCTTCTTTTGAGGTATGCAAAATACCATTGGCCTAATTTAGGTGGAAAATAAAACTGATACAAACCAAAATTCCAGTGAAGACTCTGTATCATCCGGAAGCATGATGCCAAAGATGCTTGAAGGATTCCTTCAGCCAAAGCAGGATTTCAGAACCCATCATGTATGGGCTTTAACGAGTGTAGTCCACATGCTACTCTGCAATTCAGGAGCTGTCTTATGTACATTTTCATCTCCTAAAACAAAATGGATTTATTATTGTATTTTATAAGAAATAAAGTTTGGCAAGAAAAAAACCTACAGTAAGAAAGATTCTGTTATGCTTCTTTATTTTATTTAGTCAGGTATAGCAAGGGGAGACCCTGAGGGGGTTGGCTYTTGTTTCTCTGCTTTTATTCAATTATCTTAGAGCTGTGGCTCCACGTTTTGGCACTAATTGAAAAAGACTCGCCTTTGCAAAGGCTTCAGGGCAAGCAGTTCCACTGTTTTACTCATTTGTCATCATTCTTATTTTATTTTGCTCAACTTCACAGACCAGAAATTAAATCCTGATCAGAAGCTATCACAGTGCAAAGAAAAAACTCTTCATCATGGATTATGTGCATTTAAGCATTCTAAGTAGCACAATTTTTGAATTCCATTCAGCTGCAGAAGTGGCTCAGGATGGAAACACAAGATATAAGACAGAATACAAACAAATATTCAGACAACTTCTTGTAATGTTCAGTGAGCAACCACACAAGAAAAACAGCAAGAGCAGAGATGAAGTGACACTTCATGAACAACCCATTGCCCAAAGATTATTCACCAAAAATATTTGAAGACAGTAACAAATTATCAAGTAGAATTAATCTGTTTAGGAATTACTTTTCTCTTTAAAAAAATTTGAAAGTTACATGTGGAAGTGGTATCATCTAATCAGAGCAGCAAATCTTGTCATAGATTCTCTTTAGGTTGCAGCAATCCCAAAATAAAAAGTGGAAATTCGAAGGAGAAGTAAGGAAGAAAAAGAAACATCCCATCTGACATAAGCCAATGCCCAATATGAAGTGGAAACAAACAACATACAGTTTGCCATTAATTTCTTGTCCAAGATAAAAAGACTCTGCCTCATAACACTTGGTCTTAAAACTCTCACAGGGGTGGCAGTTTTTCATCATCTTTGCATTCACTGGTAGCTAAGTTRGTTTTAAGAATTACATTCCTTTATGGGATGGAAAACCCAGGGGATCAGTGGAAACAATCAAGTGGAAACAATCCTAATTAACACTGGATTTGATTTGATAACAACCTGGAAATGGAGTGAATGGAAGGAGCTCCAAAGGCACACAGCACCTCAGTCATGTGAGTAAATTTTAGGCTTTCCTGAGAATCTGATGTTCCACTTATCTGCAAAGACTGGTGGTGGATGGTGTTCCCAGAAATAGATGCTGTGAGTATTTTGGGTCAGTGAGATATTTGGGCCAAACTAGGCCTAGGCTGTTGTGTCCATCAGCAGCTAAAGCTCCCTCATTACAAGCTGCTAACACCCAACCTATATCCTGAGCACCCTGCAGGATATGAAAGAATGTGACAGCAGCTCCACCTTCCATATCCCCTCACCAGAAGCACTAAGAAGCAATAAATAATTCAGATAATTAAGTTCAGTCACTAAGCACTATTCCAGCACCTCAAATTTCTTCTGCATCTGACACAAATCCTTTCAGAAGCACATTTCTCCTCTCTGAAGAGATACTCTTGAAGAATTATTAGAAAATCCTTCATGGACCCCTTTAATACAGTCAGAATGAACCCAAAACATGCACTGCAAGGAATAAAAGCCTGACTACACAAAGCTTACTCATTAGCCSCCTTGTGATAACCATCATGGAGTAGATGGGACTGCAGGAAAGTTCTCCCCCTCATTCTTACTCCAGTCCAGTTTCTTTTCAAGCCTCTCCATTTGCTTTCCTGCCTGCTGTGATGAAGCTTCTCAAGACACCAGTTTCCTCACTGGCAGTCCAAATGCAAGAACCTTCCTGMCTAGCTGTGATCCTTTATCTGGAATTAAATATTTGTGTAAAAACATTCTATTTCTACACTGCTTGTCTTCATTCCTATGGAGGCATCTGTTTAGATGTTACCTCACATCCTTCCCTAAGGGATTTTTTAACAGCAAATTGTTTTCTAGCCCATTCCCATAGCACAAAGAGATGTCACAGGCATAGGCACAGCTTTGCTTCCTGCTCACCCTCTTCACTAAGAGCAAGTCAGACACTCAATTCCTCTGCAAAGAACCATCYCTAGAATGATGGATGTCAGGTAAAAATTAACAGATTTTGATATGAGATGTCTGACAATCAAAAATTCAAAGAACAACATAGTTAAAGTCAAAAAATGAGAGGTCACAAATTTYCTTGCATAACTGAGAACAGATCTTACTCTGAACTTCTCCTATCAGATGAAAAGGAAGAAAACAATTATTCTCTGCTTTGAAGACATAGTTCTGTTCAAGAGATAAAAGAGCTACTTCCCTCTTTGCTGTCCCAGTGAACCCATTGTCTGTATATGAAATGTTTCCAGCAATATCCTGTGCCAATTCAAAACTCAATTTTTAACCTATTAGACACTGATTCTGATTACAGGTTATGTTTCCATAAAATATTCCAAATGCATAGATGGAATTATCACAAAGAAATTATCAGGATCTCTYCTGATTTCTCAGAAAATGAAGCAAATCTATAAGGTCCAAAACAACCTTGAAGAAACACCAAACCTACTATAAAAACTCTTTTATGAGCTGAGCTATTTCTAAGCTCAGCTCATACTTTGTAAGGGATGCGCTTTGCGACTTCAAGCAACACAGATAAAAAACTGAGGGATAGGACATAACACAGACAAAATACAAAATATAACTTTTATTGTGAAATAATTATTCTCTCTCTTCCCTTACTTTCCCAAGCCTGATTAATATATGGATTAATTAATGCCTCAAAAGAGCAGGGAAATTTGAAATAAGGATGCCTGCTTGCTGGTTGTGGCCATCCRTCATCTTTCCAGCCTTCCTGGGAAGCATGTTGTATAGTTTAGAAGGACAAGGAACTCTCCACTGCTTTTCCATTTTGGTTACCTCTAGTTCAACAGCTGAGCTAAAATCATTACAGACCCATTACAACTCAGCAGCCTATACACAAAACAAAAGTGACTATTAATGGAGTTCTTTGTTGGCAGTCATTACCTTGCGATAATTGCCACACAACTTGATGCTCTAATTAGCAGCAGCCTGTGCAAGGAGCCCAGAGCTGTTTAAAATTTCAGTTTGGAGTTTCCTTTAATCTTAAACGGCTTCTTCTAAGACTAGACACCTTCTGTCCCACCTCTGCTACAGCATCTTTCTGCCTAAGCACTCCTCAACACTGCCACCAGAAATCACCTGCTGGGGAAGGGGAGAGAGGGAGAGGAAAAGGTACACAAAAGCATTTGCATTTCATTTTTTAAGAAAGGAATAAGTGCTTAATTGGCTGAGGCCTGCAAATCTCTTCATCCACTTTCCTCTGAGCATGTGCATCATCCATTCCCTGAACAGCTCACTGGCAAGGCTGACTATTGCTGAGCCAGCAGAACGTAATTTGCATGTGGATTTTATGACTCAGCCATATAATCTACTTTAGCCATGTCATTTACATAAAAATATTGTGCTATAACCTACACATTACAGGGGAAGAGAGGGCTGTAATGCATTTCTCTCTTTAAAAAAAGGGATGTGATGAAGAAAAAAACCCCAGTAAACAGAAAACGGAGTGATCATGTTTTCCAGACTGTGAACTCCATAGTCTTAATTTTTTGTGGCTTGTGTCTTTATATTTTTCATTTTTAAGAGGAAGCAGTGTGCAGTAACTTCATTTTTCAARTCGTGCTGTGTCAGCATCAAAAGGAGAACAGTAGAACCTGGAAATGAATGGTGCAGGAGGGAACTGACCACATAAAAGAGGAAAGGTAAAATTTACATTTGGGTGAGATCTCCAAAATGCTACAAATCTGTCACTACAAAAGCAAATGTGCTTTGGCACTCCCCATAAGAAACTAGTTTTGTGTCTGACTGGCAAGGCTAGATAAAAAAAAAAACAAACAAAAAAACAATTGAAAACCATCCCTTCTCCACCTCCTCCATCACAGGAGGGTGTAAAAAAACCTGTCTGGTTTACTCCATTTCCATAGTCAGGTCTGTGGCTCCCTCTAAGGGCTGAAAGGAGTTTCTCAGCAATCTGCAGCTGGATCAGAATGATTGTTCTATCCCTGAAGCTGCTATTTCATTACAAAACACCACAGAAAGCAAAGATGAGGGATGCTTTTCCAGACCTTCCTTTTCCACAGAGAGCTAGTATCAGTAAATCAGATTACAGCATGTTCTGGAGCATGGGCAGGCTTTGCATGCTCATCATATTCTCTGTACTGGGTCAAGATTACAAKTTTTACAAGGCACTGTGTTAATACAAGAGAGAATTTTTTTAAAAGCATAGATATGTATAGCAAAATAAGAATTAAGTTGACATTAAAAACTCATCTCAATCAGATGAAATGAAGCAATGGAGCTACAAACCAATCCAGAGAAAAGAGCTCATCCTGTCAGTCACACAGCTGCAAGTGAAACGATGCTAACTGGGGGCTGTRTGGTGCAGCAAAGATTTACAGTGGTAGGAGTCTCATCAGATAGATGGGGTTTGGTTGGTTTTATTTTAATTCAAATCTGTTAYTCCTCAATGCTATACAGAAATTAGACAATCAGAAATATAGAGAGCACTAKCAGTAGGGAAAGCAAAGGGATGGGAACTAACCCAGAGAAAGTAGTTTCTCCAGGGCTGTGGAGAGTAGAGCCATCTGTCATTACTCCACTCTCACAAGGTTAATTCTGTACTCCGCAACACTACTCACCCTTCAGAAGAAGTCCCAGCAGTGATTATTTTTGCCTGGCACTGTGGCAATCCTAGCCAGCAAGATTACTTTAGGTCTATCCCTTTGTGTTCTGCGCCACAGCTGTCATACACACAATTACACTGGAGCCTGTGATGCCTTCAAGGTTCAGCACAATTTATTAGAGATTTGGGGAGCTGAGTAGAAAGGGCAGCCCTCCAACTTCTCCTCAAGTTGATAAGAGATATTTGAAATTCTGACCTGCCTTACAAATGCATGAGAAATATATATAACAATACATACATGATGTTTATTGCTGCTGTTACACTGACAATAGCAAGACACA